TCTGTCACTCGCTCACTCACACGTACACACACACTTACTTGTACACACAAGGAGGAAAGAGCACACTAGGAAGGAGGTTGGTATGGAGATCACTAGCTCATTTGTCTCTTTATCAGACTGTGTCTCCCTCTCTCCAGAGGAGGTGTCTGTTTGAAGAATGTGCCACGGTTGGGAGGATGAATTTGCATGATGAACTTGGAATTTATTTATTTATTTTCCATCAGGCAGCACCCCACCATTATCCTTGCTCCTAAAACTGATTTCCATTATACTCAGGGCAGCTACAGATTCTTTGTCAGTTAAAGGGAACGTTGCAGATAATGATTGTGCCCCTTAAGCTGTCACACATGGAAAAGCAAAGATTTGTTACACTTCTGCCGACTATTCAAACATAAATTCTCAGTGTAGCTTTGTAAACCATCATAGCTTTAGAGGCAGTACGCATTAGGTTAGCTATCCACTGGCAATATCCATAAAATGTGGAAGAACATCTGAAGAATGTAATATGATGTAGGGGCAGTAAGTGAGTGAGGATACAATCTGATTAGATCGCACTTTGTTCCACTTTGTCGTGGGATAAACGCGTCAAATACTGGCGTCTAAGCTTAACATCTCCTACTTGCTTCATTAAAAATTGATACTGTAGATGGAAGAACATTACTCATAGAGAAATTGTTTTCATGTTCATCTCTGAAGGCCCCTTCAGACCTTGCATGATTGCTATGGAGTTATGAGATCAACAAGGAATTACTTTGTCATAGCAACTGCAACTATAAATTTAGTCTTAAAAAATAATGACAGCAACATTTTGAGGCAATGTCAAAATCAAAGTTGAAACATAAAACACGACATTCGCACACTTAGTTTACAGCAGGGGGAGAATCTGGAATCTTAATCTTAATAATCTACTACTAGGGACATTAAAAGGCCAAAATCGCAGGACCAAAAGAATCCTGTAAAGAACCTCCAAAGATTTTTTCAGTTCTCCTGCAAAAAGGACAAAGTGAAAAATGATGCAGCAGGCTAGTCCATTTCACCAGTAGTTTGTATGGCCATCACATGTTTATATGCATGCTTGACATTGTCGCGATATGTTCCTATTGAGAGGGCAGATGGTGTCCTGGGGATCTCCTCCCAGGTCTGGATCAGGGCATCACTGGACAGTCTGACGTGCAATGTGGGGTCATCAGATGAATCGAAACATAATGTCCCAGAGGTCTTCTGTTGGATTTAGTGCAGGAGAGCATGTGGAACAGTCGATGCTTTCAGTTTCTTCAGACTTCAGGAACTTCCTGCGTACTTTTGCCACATGAGGCATTGTTATGCACCAGGAGGAACCTATAACCCACTACAGGGTCTGCAGAACCCAAGGCAGTCAGGGTGCTGTTGCATAGCCTATAGAGGTCTGTGCGTCCCTCCAGGGATATGCCTTCCCAGACCATCACTGACCCAAACCGGTCATGCTGAATGATGGTACAGGCAACATAATGATCTCTACAGCTTCTCCAGACACGTTCACGTCTGTCACATGTTCAGGGTGAACCTCGTCTCTTTGTAAAAAGCACAGGACACCAGGGGTGAAGAAGCCAATTCTGGTATTCTTTGGCAAATGCCAATCAGGCAAGAAGCAAAAGTCCCATTAGAAGACACCAGGCCCTCAAGCCACCCACATGAAGTGTGTTTCTGATTATTTGGTCAGAGACATTCACAGCAGTGGCCTGCCGGAGGTCATTTTGTATGACTCTGGCAGTGCTCATCCTGTTCCTCCTTGCACAAAAAGTGTAGTTCTTCTGATGGGTTACTGTTACATTTTTAGGTTTATTTTTTATTTAATCCTTACATACTTTTCAGGTCAAATTGTATTATTATTTATTTTAAGTGTAATAACCTTCCAAAAAAAACTAAACTAAACAAAACTTCAAATATTTTAAACTTCTAAAATGAATTAACATACAGTTGTACATGTGCTTGAATTATTTTTTTTTGACTTATTGATGTGCCTTAAACCAAGGCAAATGGTGATTTGGGGGAATTTTGAAACTGTGACACTACCATGCCTGTGTGTATTTTTTAATGAGATAGTAGACAGAGTTCTCACTGCATTTGCCCAGGTTTGTGCAGAGACAGGCACCTGCTGCTCCTTAAGGGACCATGAGGGAACCTCAGAACTGTGAAATAGTAAGGGCCCTTCACATACAGTGTAACAAGGGCATCACTGCACTTTGAAACCCATTATTTCCTGTGGCTTGCGTCAGATATAAAAAGTTTGTCACTGCACAAACACATGCACACCATGATATACGTTTTTTGCAACCAACAGACATGAACTGGACTGGGACTGGACAGATAAAGTACACATAAAGACCACAAGCGGGTGACATAATACCTGAACATGAGATAGGACCGAGAGAACACTAGCACAATGCAAAATTTGGTCAGCTGCGCAGCCTAGCAGCGTAGAACATACCAAATTCTATGTGAATGGTGCCATCAGACTGATCGTACATGGAGTACAAAAGGAGCAGAGGTCATGCAGAGGTGAGAGGTGATCTTGAAATACACAAGTTTTCCACCATATATTATTTAGTCACCTGCAATATGGCTATATAATACAAAATTTAACCACATTTTTTCTAAGATAAGCTGGGGGATGGGATTATACTAGTAAACAAAATAAATACTCCCCTTTGTCTCTGTAAAATGACTTAATAGTTAATCATCCATTCATTGATTGCACATAGGCCATTTATACATTTTTAATCTGCATTTCAAAATTTCATATAGACTTTTATTATAAGGGAATTCTTGTCCCAGATCCAAAATTTTCCCAGACTTTACTGTGAAGGCATGAAATATGAGCAGAATGTAAGGTTGAAGATAAATGAAAAACATTTAATGTCTCCTGAAAAGTTTCAGCTTGTATCTGTCTTGTATATTAGTAGCATGATCCTGCAACGTTAGCAGTGTATCCATTACATGAATCAACATGACATTTGTTCAAGTGTTCTGGTGGGATGAGCCAGAGATGCTGATTGTTTGGGCACTTAATAACGAGCCAATGAGCCATAAATGAAGCAGTAGTGTTGCAAGTGCATAGTGCAAGGATAAGCTGTGAGGAATAAACGTTATTTAAACCTTATGTTGGTGTCATGAAACGCTGTGCGGCAGGCGGGAGTTGGACCCAAAATGCAGGCACTCAGGCACGAGGTTTAAACACAAAGAACTCAGCTTTATTCACTGGCAGGAGAAAGCCGTACAAAGCAAACTAAACCCACAGAGAGACACAGGGAGGTCCACACAGCATGAGGGGCGACGCAACACTGACTCAGAGAAACACAGGGTTTAAATACACTGGGAAGTAACGAGGGGAATGAGACACAGAAGGAGGGCACAGCTGGGAGAAATCAGGACTGACGAGACAAGCAAAGCAGGACGCATTCACATAAGACACGGACCATCAAAGTAAAACAGGAAGTATCACACAGAGACGCAACTTGACACAGTGGAGACAGCAACTAAGAAACACAGAGACATAAACCATAAGGCAGAGGACTCTAAGAACCGAGAGACACAGAGGGGAACTCAAACATGCAGACACAGACTACACAGAACAGAGGGGACACAGAGAAACATGAAGGGATCGAAACTAGAAACCATAGAATAACTCACACAAGTACAATAATACAAACATCACAAGGAACTAAAAGCGCTGGGTCAGGAGACCCAGGACCGTGACAGTACCCCGGCCCCGTAAGGGCTGGCTCCAGACAGCCCAAAACCAGAAAAACAAAACCAAACAGAAAACAACCCAGGGCGGGCGGCGGGGGTCCAGGACAGAGGGCTCGCAACAGAAAACAAAAGCAGAGCACAGCAAACACCGGAGCCCAAGAAAACAGCCCAAACACAGGGCAGTTCAGGGGGCCGACCATGCGGACGGCAACGGCGGCGGGGAAACAGTTCAGGAGGCCGACCGTACAGGAAAGGCAACGGCGGCGGCGAAGGAGACGACGGAGCAGTTCAGGGGGCTGGCCGCGCGGAAGGCAGCGGAAGGCAGGGGGCGGGAGGAGCCGCGGGCAGTCAGGGAGGCAGGCGGCGGCAGAAGCAGTCGGAGCGCAGCGGAAGGCAGGGCGGCGAAGGAGACGACGGAGCAGTTCAGGGGGCCGGCCGCATGGAAAGCGGCGGCGGCTCTTAAGCGTCAAGGCGTACTGGCCGAGTCTCGGTGGGCACAGGACCAGTCGAGGCCGGACCAGACGAGGCTGGCGACGCCGAAGCGGAGGCCGGACCGGAGGCCGGACCAGACGAGGCTGGCGACGCCGAAGCGGAGGCCGGACCAGACGAGGCTGGCGACGCCGAAGCGGAGGCCGGACCAGACGAGGCTGGCGACGCCGAAGCTGATGACGCTGGACCAGGCGACGCCGAAGCTGATGACGCTGGACCAGGCGACGCTGAAGCTGATGACGCTGGACCAGGCGACGCTGAAGCTGATGACGCTGGACCAGGCGACGCTGAAGCTGATGACGCTGAAGCTGGACCAGGCGACGGTGTGGGTGGAGACACGGAGGCTGCAGCTGGCGGCGTCGTGGATGACGCTGGTGGAGCAGCAGGAGGCTGAACAGGCCCCTTGGACCCTCCAGCGGAGACGAGGAGGTGCTGGCTGGGCTCACTGGAACCCCCAGCGGACGAGGTAGATGGCGGCGCGGGAGCCGCGGAGTGCTGGATGAGCTCATCCGAGCTTCCAGCAGGAGCTGATGTAGAGCCAGAGAGAATTGGGACCCCGGGCTCAACGTTAAGCTGGCTAGAAAACTGCACTGCTACGGGGAACTGGGCCAAAGGTTCAGGTGCGAGCTGAGCTGCTGGACACACGGGGACCTGAGCTGCTAATGGTGGTGAAGTAGATGACTGCACGGGAGACTGAACCGAGAGCGTCTGCACTGGCACAGGGGACTGAACTGATGTCTGTAGTAACGGTGGTGGTGAGAGTGGAGTAGGTGGTGGAGTTGATGACTTCACAGGGGAATGAACTAGAGGTAGTAGTGACGGTTGTGGTGCTGGTGGTTGAGTGGATGACTGTGCTAAGGGAGGCTGCACTGGGGACACTGGAGACTGCACTGGGGACACTGGAGACTGCACTGGGGACACTGGAGACTGCACTGGGGACACTGGAGACTGCACTGGGGACACTGGAGACTGCAGGAGACTGCACTAGAGACTGCAGTGACTGTTGTGGTGAGAGTGGAGTTGGTGGTTAAGTAGACGACTGAGCTAAGGTCAACTGAGGAGGTAACTGAGTGGCAGACTGAACTGAGGGAGACTGAAGTGATGGTAGGGGTGAAAACGGAGCTTGTGGTGGAGTTAACGACTGTGCTAGCGGGGACACAGGAGACTCAGCTAGAGCTTCTGGCTGGGCAGCTGAGTGAAAACAAACGGCTCCGGAATAAATAGTCCCAAATCCAGGAAACTCTTGACTATTGTCTCTTTCTTTTACCACAGCTGGTAACTCAGAGGACTCGGGGTCCGGCTGTGGCGATGGATGTCGGCGGCGTGAACGCGGCTTCTTTTTTGATGATGGCTCCGACGGGCCAAGCAGCTCCACGTCCGGCCCTTCAGGCAGGTGGGCAGTAGCAGCTGGGGGATGAAGGTGGAGCTCATTTCGGATTAAATCCTGTTCGAGTGGGTGGAGCGCACTGAGTAGCCAAGGAAGACCAGAGATTAAACGCTGTAGTCTGGTTTCCACAGCACGGCGAAATTCCCTCCCCCTCATGATGCAGGAGTCTTTCCACGGAGTAAATTATGTCCAGACGCAGCTCTTCTGGTGGGTTGGGTGCTGCTGGGTCCATGTCTGGTCGAGTCGTACTGTCATGAAACGCTGTGCAGCAGGCAGGAGTTGGACCAAAAAACACAAAGAACTCAGCTTTATTCACTGGCAGGAGAAAGTCGTAAAAAGCCAACTAAACCCACAGGGAGATCCACACAGCATGAGGGGTGACGCAACACTGACTCAGAGAAACACAGGGTTTAAATACACTGGGAAGTAACGAGGGGAATGAGACACAGAAGGAGGGCACAGCTGGGAGAAATCAGGACTGACGAGACAAGCAAAGCAGGACGCATTCACATAAGACACGGACCATCAAAGTAAAACAGGAAGTATAACACAGAGACACAAACTTTACACAGTGGAGACAGCAACTAAGAAACACAGAGACATAAACCATAAAGCAGAGGACTAAGAACCGAGAGACACAGAGGGGAACTCAAACATGCAGACACAGACTACACAGAACAGAAGGGAGACAGAGAAACATGAAGGGCAAGGGATCGAAACTAGAAACCATAGAATAACTCACACAAGTACAATAATACAAACACCACAAGGAACTAAAAACGCTGGGTCAGGAGACCCAGGACCGTGACAGTTGGAGCAAATTCACAAAAATGTGCAGTCCAAGTGAGCATTAGATAGGGTCTCAAAACTGTAAGCTTAGATAATTTTCCAGATGTTATTAAGATGTCCCCAAGTGGAAAAAGTTGTATCAAGATGGACTTTGATAGTGCAGACTTGCTCCTTAAAGATAAATGAATGTGATAAATAAACAGTAGTTTGCTCACTCTTACATTTTAAATAGAAACTTTGCTCTATGTGGATGTGAGCTGCTGGAGAGTGACATGATATGACACAATGGGGCACACTAGCTTGAGGATTATGAGCTGAAGTCATTTGGTTTCCTTGACAACAATGTAGAATTTTAGCAAATGTGGTGACAGTGTTGGCACCAGAATTTCCTCAACTGGAGTGAGTCAAACTTTTATTTTTTTTTTCGCTTTTTCTTTTGTTTTGCTTTCCTTTAAAGTATGACAAATTTGATTTTTGCATTCTAGAACACCAGTTTATTCAGCTCATTGACTTGTTTACTTCTGCAAACTTTTAATCCTCAAACTAAGGGTGAAGTTGCATGTGCCGCATATGAGAAAACGTGACAGACACACCATTACACCCAAGCACAGTGTCAACATCAACTTTCATCTATTCATCTGAGGACTGACTGTGTTGTTCCTGTAAGCAGCAATAAGCAATTATAAAAAGAATTTCTCAAGGTTGTGAGTCTGTCAAAAAGCAGGTATGCACAAATAAAAAGGAAACTACAGCCTGATCGCATCATTAATGATTAATCCTTTCACATGTGCAATCCATCTGCATGTTTACATTTGCATGTGTATGCATGTCTTTCCTCATCCAAGCAATGTTGGCGTCTCATGAGACCTAATTTATAAAGCATTGGTTTGCAAAAAAATAAATAAATAAAATTCAAAATCCAGATGGCTATTTCTATGCATAAGTTATGGCTTGTAGAATTTACGGGACTTGACATTGTAATGTGTCTTATTCACAAAGTGGAAGTTGATTTGAGAACATGAACACATTTGTGTGTGAACCACATTAGGGCAGGAATATGTATGAGATCAATGTTATTTTCGGTTTGTAGTAAAGTAAAAGGCAGCATAATGTAAATGAGAAAGTACAGCGCTTAAAACCAATACATGAAATACAAACATGAAATTGATTTGGTCTTCCATTAATTACACTATTCTAACATGCATTTTATTGCATGCATTGATTGCATATAACATGCACTGATTTACAGTATCTCTGTGTGGAATAACATCAGTGCTCAATGATTGCTTCTTAGAACAACATTTGGAAAAAATACAGTAAAAAACATTGACACATATGTTAACATAATTCTAATAATTATAATTGACATATACAGTATACCTTTACATATAAATATTACTTACATTCACGAGACACTTTATTAGGTACAGTGTATCTCGCTAGTACGTGCAAGCTTCAGAACTTGCCAGAGAACAGATTCAACAAGGTGCTGGAAACATTCCTTTGAGATTTTGGTCCATATTGACATAATATCATACGGTTGCTGCAGTTTTGTTGGCTGCATATCCATGCAAATCTCCCATTCCATCACATCCCAAAGGTGCTCTGCTGGATCTGTTGACTGTGGAGGCTATTTGAGTGCAGTGAGCTCATTGTAATATTCAGGAAACCAGTAACATTAGTAACGTCTTTCATTCTGCTTGAATCATCCATCAGAAGATGTGTACATTGTGGTCATAAAGATATGAAAATGGTCTGCACCAACACTCAGGAAGGCTGTGGAGTTTAAATTAATTGTACCCAAAGTGTGCCAATAAAATATCCCCCTGACAATTACACCAGCAGCAGCAGCCTCAGCCCCTGATGTAAAGCAGGATAAATCCATGCTTTCCTGTTGTTTACACCAAATTCTCACCCTAGTATTTACTCTCAATTTCTCACTTCTGCCTTCAAAAATTAAAAGTCTTCATACCAGGCAGTCTTCTGGTGTTGTGTTTTTTAGTGAGCCGTTTACTAATTGTAGCCTCAGTCTGGTCTTCCGGTGCTGCACGACACCAGAAACTCTGAAAGACTGACTGACTGAGGTTTGACTGTTCGTGCATTCAGAGATACTATTCTGCATACCTTGGTTGGAATAAGTGGTTATTTAAGTTACTGCTTCTTAGCAGCTTGGAGCAGTCTGGCCAGTCTCCTTTGACCTCTGCCATCAACAAGAGAACTGCTGTTCACTGGATACTTTATCTTTTTCGGGCCATTCTCTGTAAAGCCTAGACATTGCTGTGTGGGAAAATCCCAGTAGATCAGCAGTTTCTGAAATGTCACTTAAATCACCTTTCTTTCCAAATTTTAATGCTCAGTTTGAATTTTAGGAGCTCTGAGGTGCTGTCATGTGTTTGGCTAATTAGATATTTGTAGAATTAAGCTATAATTGTGCTATTCAATAGGTGTACTTACCTAAGTGGCTGCTGAGTGACAGTTAGAGTTCTCACCAAAGTATTAGCGTCATTTCTGCATTGAAGCATCATCACTAAAACCAGAGCAGCAAATATATAATCAAGGTTATGATGTTCACGTGTTTTGTTTGTGTGCGCAGTATAAGAACTAGAAAGACTCCGTCACTTTACTGAAAATTGGTTGCCTGGCAAGAGGTCTTCTTTACCTCAATCACATATGTGGATTATAACTATTCAAGGCCATGGTCTACTCGAATATGTGGACTTGAATGTAAAAGAATATGCTGGTGAAAAGTTTTTGATTTCTTTTTACTTCACCTACTTTATAGCTAATTCCCATTTTATAAGTAAGGTTTATCTTTGTTATAGCACAACTGCTATGAAAGCCTTATAGTGCCCAATTAGAGTTTGTATAATGGCTCTGGAGTTTTATGTTGTGATAGTCTTTCTAATGTCCCTGCAATTTAAAATAAACACAACAACCCAAAGTAAGCAAAAGAAGGTCCTATTTAGATTGCACAAAATGTGACTTCAACTAAAAAGCCAGTACAATAGCTTATGTAAATTATGTACTTTATGCAAATTTGACTTATTGCTGTTCGTGTTCATGGCTGTGGTTTACTACATGGGACCAGAGTAGAAGATAATCTGTCTATTTTTGGAAGTGAGACATGTGCAGAATATCAATTACATCTTATTTATTATTTCTTTGATGCTTCTCACAATTTAATTTACTGTAACAAGTGTGATAAATGCTTATTCTCAGAAATCTATCATTTTATTAATTGTTCAGCTCCTTAGCCATATGCAGGGGGGGAAAAATCCATATATGCTGTAACTAAAGTCTATTGTTGTCTACAGTCTATTGTTACTGCGACTGTTTCCCTTTGTGCGCCATAGCTGTCGCTTTTTTCCCGTTGAACACCTTGTTATCTTGATTGTGTGAACCTGGCCTTAGCTGAAGTCAGCTAAAACAATAATTGGACACAGAGGAAAGTTCCCATTTCTTCCGCCCATGCATTGCACACCTTTCTATTATTTATGTTCCCTTATGTGAGGAATTCCCTTTGATAGAACCAATCAATGAGCACTTTGAACACTTTCTACACTCAGATTGATGGAAAAGACAGTATTGAAAGAGCAAAAGAATAGGCAATCCTAAATTCTGTTTGTGTGAAGGTACCCGCACAAACTAAGGGGATGAAGTCTCCCTGCACTGTGAGACATAGATCTGCTGACTTTGATCCACGCTGACGTTCTTGCAGCCTGCATGTTCTCACTGTGAGGTAATGTTAAAAGATTTCACTTACAGCAGGAGTATCCAGCAGTGTTTCGCTGTAATGCTCAACTATATCTGGATCCACACAAACTATGCATTTTTAAATGGCTTTTTTCCTTTTGTCCCATTTATACATACGGCAGTAACGATCTATAAAAGAAAAATAAAAGTACGACAACAGCCTGTTTCTATGATGATTCAGAAATCCTTGCTTGTTTTGATTAAATCTTGGGTCTGAAAAGCTTTAGTTACTTGAAAGTAATGCTCAGCTCTCAATATTCTGTTATTTGGACTATAGTAACCGAGGATTCAGACTCTCTATAGCCAGTTGTGTGAGTACAGATATCAAAAATTCTCTTTTAATGTCATTTGCAAATAAAACATTCTGTTCGGTTAGTTTTGATTCCCAAGCCTCTGTGTTTCTTTCTTTAAAATATGCTTGAACTGATACAGCCTACCCTTATTGATCATCTCACTAAAGCATT